CATATACACTCACACACTGTCACAGACATCACAAACAGAGGAAATGTCTCCTTATGGCAGCAGTAGCCCCGCCTTCCTCACAGCGGGACAAAGCGTGGATGGGTTGACGGTGGAAAACATGGCTTCTGAGGATGAGGATGAGCCTGAAAAGTGGTCCAGTGCCATTGTGAAATTGTGTAAAACATCTCTATGACCTCTGCTGCTGCTGCTCCCTGTCCTCCCCTCCCCCAAACTCCCCCCTCCATCCCCTGGAGTCACCAAAACCTCTAAGAAATTGCCTTCGGCCCCTCCCACCCGTCCCTCCCCTGCCTTGCTCTTGACCCCCCTTACACACACACACGCATGCACACATTTAGTGCTGTACAAAGGGGAGACCACAGAGTGGCTTCAGCTACATAAGCACAACTTTTGGCAGCACTACTGTACATTAAAACCCACGTTGTACTGTTTCTTCTTCTTCTTCTTTTTTTTAAAAGAGAGCCCTTATTTCTGTGTTTTCGAAACGTTGCCTCACGACTGACCCGCTGACACAATTTCACAGCCAACTGAGCGGATGGGTTGGTGCATCTGTTCGGTTTTCCTTTATCCCACAAGGAAGAAGAAAATCCAGAAATGATTAGTCACACATTTAGAAAGGTGACAGAAGCCAGAGGTGAAGATGTGAAGGAGATGTGGAGAGAAGTGATGACTGAGCAAAAAACCTTTCAGACCCTCCCCTCCCTCCCCAATCCTGTGCAAAACAAAGAGAAACACCCACAAAAACTAATAAAGATCAAATGCTCACTGATCTTTTATCGTCAAAGAGAACGGTGTTTGTTTTTGGAAATGCTCACACACAACATGCTTTCACAAAAGGGCAGTGTTGTGTGTCGGCCATTTTGGATCTGCTGTTACAATTCTGGACAAGCGAGTGGTGTCATGGAGCCAAAATGGAGGTGGCTTTTTAATGCCTGCCTGTCAACAGTGTGGCGTGTCGGCAGGCTGTTGACGGAGAGGAGTCGGTGTATAATGTGCTAGTGAAAGCAGAAAGGTGGGGTTACCGTTCCAACCTCTGACACCACACCAGGTAAAACCATACAATAACTCAATCTGACGCCTGCGTGTTGTCGTGTAGCTGACTCTTTGTTATGTTTTCTATCTAGCTACCTAACTCTAGAGGGACCTGAGAAGTAAGCAAACTGCCGTGCACCTCTGTGAAACTCTCACTACACCGCCTGAAACTGGACCCAGGACATCTCCGGGATGGACACGAGATGGTGCCACACCATAGCCAAGAGGGCTAGCCAGTTAGCAGGATCCTGAAATGATGGTCATTTTAGTCTGTAGAGGCCAAAACCTCAAGGCTTTGATTCCAACTGTGTGGATCTCTTAGGATTTTGGCAACTTTTACAAAAATCTACATGTCTGAATGGGAGTTTTAAAGTCGTCCGTCCCACTCTGGATGCGATGTGGCTTTCCTGCTTCGAGTCTAGCCTTTTGACCGTTTCCTCACTGTGGCCCAGTTTTAAAGTCACCACTCTCCCCATTTCTATGCTAGCATGGGCGCCAGTGGGACTCAACTTTTAAGGCGTAGTGTGGATGATCTCATCTACTACAGTGGGTTAAGGGTTGAGGGGGGTGAGCGATGGACAAGATGGGGCATGACAAATTTGACTCGGATACAGAAGGCACTGTGGCTCTGTAGGGGGCTTTGGGGAACATTCCCCACCTGCCGTAACCTCTTGATTGTAGGTGAGGACAGAAAGGGGGTTTCGTGTTATGCGCCCCTTCATGCCTACCAAGCACATGAACAGTTAACAAAAAACAACCACCCCCCCAATCCACATCTTTCCTACGCAATGCTTAACTACTAGGCCTGGAGGCAACACATCTTTTGGAGAGACTAGAAATTTGTGGAGGAAAAAAGGGAATCGTCATCAGGAGGAGGGAGGGAAAAAGACAGCTACAGAGGTACATGAACTGTGGGGGTGTGATGTCATGTGAAGTCTGGGGAATAAAACATCGGTGCCAGTGTTCACATTTTCTCAGATCTGCATGTTCCCGTTTCCTCGGCCTGTTTTACAGAACCACTGCGTCGTAGGTTCACCTTTTTGAAGTAATATGATGAGGATGCCTATGAGGTCTGCATAGAGTCAACACGTGGACTGGGGTTTGTTTTCTGGCTTTTGCAAACAGCGCGAGGTTTTAAGAGTAGCTCGATTCTTTGACTTCTTTGTGAGCATGATCGGTATGCAAAATAAATATTTATCTGAAACTCTAATTATACTCTGGTGTCTATAACTACATCTACGATATCATATCTAGGTTTATCTGTAGGTAATCAACTATATTTATCTATACTTTATCATTTTGTCCTAGAGTTATTGAATATTCAATAAGTGTTATCCCTCATAACAATAAGGATGAAATATTATTAGTCCTAAGTGTTTCTGTCCTGAACCTTCAGCATCACTCTCTACCAAGCTGAAAGAACAGACGTCAAATGGACAGCAAAAGAAGGATAAATTAGGGAAAAGAAGGTCGGTGGATACTGAGGTTGGTTTTGGCAGGGAATGGTTTGCTACAACCGTATGTGACTGAACTGGGATGACTAGTTGACTCTGGTTAGCCAGACCTGAGAGAAGGGGTTGTAGGGTGGGGTGGATGGTCAGCATTGGCGCAGACAAGCAAGCGGAAGGGCGGACTGACAAACAGATATTGTCTCTCGGGCTGCATCCATGTTTCCTGCGAAACACAAGGACTTAACATATATATCTTGCAAAGATATAAGGTAAAGATCAGCTTTGACTCCTGATCTTGAAACTAGGATGTGGCTCAGAGACTGTCCTGTAGACAGGAAAGGTAGGGCCAATAACATAATATGTTTATCACTGCCCCCTGGTGGCAAAAATACTGACCGACACCAACACTGTACCACTAATACTGTGTTGTTCTCACTACAAAACTGCAGAGCCCAACAGATTGAAAAGCTTGTTTTTGGCAGCAAGTGGGAGAATTCAATCTCAGTAGAACTTTTAACTCGGTAAAATGACCTTTTCTGAGCACCTCTTAAGCGTGAAGAGAAGACAAAGTTTTCACGGCTCTCAATAAATTGTCCTACCTCTGACTCTGAACCTAAATGACTGATCTTTGGGTTGGCTTGACAGAGTTCTGACCCCTTTTGAACCACTTCAGGTCAGATAACTGAGAGTCCATCTGACCTCCAAATCCACCATTCCAGAGAGAAAAAAGTGTGTCTTTAAAGATTTGCATTATAGCACACAATGCTGCTCAGGAAGAGTTCCCAAGCCGCAGTTGACTTGAAACATTGCAGCAAGGCATCAGGAACCCGATAAACATCATTGAACGGGGGAATAATAACATAATGGATGTAAACAGGATGAACATAGCATACACAGCATAACTCCAAATAACATGACAACAAATCTACAGCAACAATTCAACCAATCATCACCATTATCATCATCATTGTCACCATCATTTTGCATTGACATTGATATCATTATTCATAAAAGTGTCATCATTAACAATAATAAATAAAGTGTGTTAGAGGTTCGCTTCTCCATGCCCTTTCTCCCTCTTGTTTCTCAAGTGCAGACAGAAACTTTAAGGTGCTCCTTGTCTTCTAACAGGTTGCAGTAACAGAGCTTTGGGCAGAAATGGAGACAAATAAAATACCCAACTGTCAAAACCTGCTTCAGGTACAAAGAAACCACAAAACAACATTTCTGCTGAGATCTGAGAGAGAAAGAAAGAGCTGGAAAGAAGGGAGCTTCTTTTGTAAACCTAAATGCAAAGTTTCCTACAAAGCCCCCCAGGTCCCACCCACACCAGTTAGATTTCCACTCTAATATGTATTTAATCAGTCATGCAGGTTTCCATCAAATTTTGAGCTCTGAAAAAGATCAAAGGAGGCTGAGCGAATGCAACAGAAGAACCAAGCTCCAATGTCCTAAGAAGAACAAGAAGTAAACGACAGAAGAAATACTGAAGAAATTAGTCTTTTTTTCCCATCCCTCCTTTCCTCTCCTCCGCCCTATTCAACTGTGTGATGTCATTTCCTGTCGGGTCATCCTCTGTTGAGTAACAGAGAGGGAAGGGGCTTGACAAAGTGTCCGACTCCCTTTCTCTAGTTACCTGAGCCCAGCCCACAAGTGCAAGTGAACAGGAAGTGAGCCCACACTGTGGCTCTCCCCCCTGCCACCACTATTACTACTACTACTACTACTCCTATAACCACCATCTGCTGGACAGGAAGTGATGTCACATCAGTTCCATCAGCACTATGCGAGTCCTTAACAGTAAACAGAGATGATAAAACTCATCAAATATCAGCCAGCGCTGTGATTGGCTGGTTTTTGCAGTATAGGCGGAGCTTCCTGGTTCTGTCAGTTGGACAGGAAAAAGGTTCTAGATAAAGTGGTTGTTCTCCCTTTTTTTTCTTTTCAGTGTTTGTCATGTAAAGTTTCACTGTGTTCTTCATTGTTCAAGTTTGATTTTCTGGAGGCATAGCTTGGCATGTAAGGGTTGGGGGGGTCCTGGCTTTTTATTAATTGATGTATCTTTAAACATATCAGTTTAGGAGCAGAGTCTAAGCGGCGGACTCTGTGTTCCAGCTCATTTTCAGGCTTTTACAGTAGCAGTCTGGCCAGAGACAAATAGCACACGTCTAGCAAATCTAAGCAATCAGGCATCAGTCTGAGAGAAGTGCTTTTAGGCCTCATAACATCGCACTTGAATAACCTCGTGCTCCTCCCTTGCTTGCACTCCCACACCTCTCTTTTCCTCCTGCAGCCAGGTCTTGATGATCAAGGCTGATTCTGGGAAGTGTAGTTCTGAGATTGAAAGAAGCAGAGGTAAACTGTGTCCAGGCCTTGGCGGTCCCTTTTTCTTTTTTACCCATATGCTGCTCTGCCACTCATTTGAGTATTACACAAAATGTGTAAAAGGCTTTTCTGCTGCCCCCCCCCCCCC